TGCCACAAGGATCAGTTTTAGGACCGTTACTTTTCTTAGTGTACATAAACGATATAACAAACTGTGATACAAATGTAATGTAACTGTATATGCTGATGACACTACACAGTGGTTCTAAAAACAAAATTGCCGGTGTTGTTCAAAATGATCTCCTAAAGTTATGTGAATGGACTAGTCAAAATGGTATTCATCTTAATGAAACTAAGTGTAATTATATGGTTTTAAACAATGTTAATAAAATTTAGTTTGATTTTAAAATTAATCAAAAAGCAATAGAAGAAGTGACTAATACAAAGTATCTAGGACTTATATTAGACAACAAACTAAGCTTTAAAAACCATATTGAAAAGATAAAAAATAAAATAAATTCTATGTTTTTTTCTTCGAAGGAATATTTTTTTATTAAACTTAAAAACCAAATTCCAGATTTATCATGCCTATGTGAATACCCACTTAATGTACCTACCATGTATTTGGGGGCATGCAAAAAATCTGGATTTAGACCAATTACAAGTTGTACAGAACCGAGCAATAAAATTAATATTTTCATTCCTCCTTAAGGACTAATACAACCACTCTGTATAATGAAGTACAATTACTAAAAATTAGAGAGATGATAAAGATGGATTCTTTAATATTAATGTACAAAATTAAAAACGATCTAATACTTACTAACTTAAGCCTACAAATTAACAGTGATATTCATGAGTAATACAAAAACCAACCAACATTACCATGTTCTACCTAGCGCAAGAAATATAGGTACAAACAGAATATCTCACAGTGCTGTGATATGGTTCAATGAACTTCCAGATAATGTTAAATGTGTAAAAAATCTAGATTTGTTTCGTAGCCTTGTAAAATCATTTATTGTTAATCAAAGATCCTAATATGTATACATTTTTTGCAGTTGTAATTATTTTAAAGCCTGCTATAAATTCTTTGTAATCTTTTTGGGTTATGTAATAAATAAATAAAAAAATAAAAAAAACTTTCACATTTTCATCAATAAAATGAGGCGTCCTGCGTAATGGTTTAACGTGTCCATATTCACGAAATTGTGCATATATTTTAGACACAGTTGCCTGAGAAAGTGGTGGTAAATCTGGGTATTTTCCATTAAAAAGGTTTGCAACTTGCTGTTGTGATCTGCACATATCACCGTAACCAATCATCATTAATATTTCTATTCGCAGAGTTTCTGTCAAGTGTCGCATTTTTTAACTAAAATATTAACTGATACTTGGATCTAACAAAATACTTCAATAAGTAAAGCGCAAAATGTTTTAATAAAAATTTAAACAATGCAAAAAGGACAAACGCAAAAAATGGCATTAACAAAAAACAATAACAAAGCGAAAAAACATGAATATCTAAATAGCGAAAGTCACAACACAAGAAACTAAATCATAGAATAACAATAAAATATTCATACTTGTAATTTTTAAATATCCACCCTGTATTGAAAATTATGGTTACTAAACCCTACTTATGTGGTATCGTCGTACTCAAAAAAATGTGCACTATCAATTTTCGATGAAAAAAAGTGGGGTTGTTATTTAAGATAAGCGTGCCTAATGTGCGGGGGGGAAAATGGTGGGGGCATAAAATTTAAAATTATGATTATAAGATTTGGAATAAAAAACTAAAGTTCACGTGTCCGAGCGTTTTTCATAAAAATCTTTTTTCAACGAATAACGAATTTTATTCCATAAGTGAGTTCCACACTGTATATATTAGGGTGTTTCAAAAAAAACTAAAATATTTTTTTTTCTAATGGTGTTGAAAAATTAATAGTACATTAAAAAACAAAAATTTTGGCGCATATTTGAGCTCTTAATATCACAGACCACCAAAACAAATGGACGGATTTGTTTACGTTTAAAAAGCGAGTAAAGCATACTTTCACATTCTAAACACCATCGAAAGAAACAAGGCTTCCAACGTTGTCAGAAGTATAGATTACACGCCTTTTTGGACGTTCATCATAACATAATGAACATTAAAAATTACCAGTAATTCGTTTGAATAATAAAAAAATTGTAAAAAGGATTTATTCATCATTTTCTTTAGATATTTTTCTCTATTTAAAGAAAATAATCATTTAATAATTATTAAAATTAAATATTAACAACGTTGATAAATTCGTCATATTGACAGCATAGAAAAAGGTTGACAGCTTGTTGTTTTGTGTTTTATAATCTGTGGTTTTCGTTTGTGTATTTCTATCGTGTTTTATTGAGTTTAAATAGGTACATTATTTTTTACTAAAAATGGTGCGACAGTGTACTGTTTGTAAAAAAACAAACCAAAAAAATCCAAATCTATCCTTTCATAGGTAAGTAAGCAAAGTTTACATATCAGCTGTTTTGAAGTACGCAATACGTCACTGGAAGAAAACATAAAATTCTATATCCAATTTAACGCTTAGACTGTGACCGTTTGTTGACGTCACTGGAAGAAAACATAAAATTCTATCTCCAATTTGACACTTAGACTGTGACCGTTTGTTGACCGCAAACAAAGCATTGTTATTGAATGGCAATGCGCCGTCCATTTGTTTTGGTGGTCTGTGCTTAATATTAATATTAAGGTTTGCCTCAATTCATTTGTTGTTTTTCCATTTCAATAACACGGGAATTTTTAATTTTTTCATTTTGAATTCTTATAACTTTGGAATGGTTTGTTTTCGCAACACCCAAGCGAGAGGAGTTATAGACAATTTCACGCTCTACAAAAATCATCTGAAGGCCAAAGTTCTTCAGGTCAACCGTTTCAAAGATATCAGCGATCAAAAATAACACTAATAAAAAATTTCAAATATTTTCAAATAAAATACAAAAAAATATCATATGCTATATTTATATTATTTTTTATGAAAACTCACTTTAATTCTGTTAACCTGGGACTGTAAACTTTTTTTATGTATATATGACATATTATATGTACATGTATATATATATATATATATATATATATATATATATATATATATATGTATATTTATATATGTATAATATACATTTTAAATATATTATATATGTCCCTTTATATAAATAAAAAAAGTTTACAGTCTTAGGTTAACAGAATTAAAGTGATTTAATATTAATATTAAGGGCTCAAATATGCGTCAAAATTTTTGTTTTTTAATGTACTATTAATTTTTCAACACCATTAGAAAAAAAAATAATTTTTTTTTTTAAACACCCTAATATATATATATATATATATGTTCTGTCAATTCCCCCTTTTGAGTTTGTACTCATTGTGTGTATATAAATACAGGGTGTCCCATAATTAGCGTCCAATACTTTAACAGAATATTCTACGTATAAAAATAAGAAAGAAAGTTCCTCTAAACATAGGTCAAGAAATGCTTTCTAAGGGAGATACAGTCCCCGAAAGAGGAGCCCCTGAGGATGGTTTTTATTTAATATCTCCAAAACCGTTCAAGATAGAAAACTGAAATTTTAGAAATTGATCAAACTTTTTATGGCCAATAAGATGTAATATTAACAATTTCAAAATTTCCATGATGGGTTGTCAGATAGATAGGGAGTAGGGGTTAAAACCACCAACTTTTTTGTATGTATCTTGTGCAAGGATTTGATATCAGATTATAAAATTTTGGAGTTTTATAAATAAAAAAGGTCATTTTGTTTAACTTTCGTATCATGCACCGTTTTCGCTTAAATTCGATTTGAAAATTACCTTACTTGGCATAAAAATTCATTATGAAACTAGATAAAAAGATTCAGCGTAGGCCATGGAACACGGCCTGCCATGTTTAGGAAAAGTTATTCAAGATATGTGACAGTTTCATGTAATAAGTGACAGGGTGTTTAAAAATGGTGTTTGAAATTACCCTTTTTAAGAAATCTACCCCGAAAGAGGAGCCCCTGAAAATGGTTTTTATTTTCCAAAACCGTTCAAGATAGAAAAGTGAAATTTTGGGAATGATCAAACTTTTTATGGACAAAAATTCCTTAAGGGGTCCACCCCTCATGGAAATTTTGAAATTGTTAATATTACATCTTATTGGCCATACAAAGTTTGATCAATTCCCAAAATTTCATTTTTTTTCTTAAACGGTTTTGGAGATATTAAATAAAAACCAACCTCAGGGGCTCCTCTTTCGGAGGCTGTAGCTCCCTTAGAAAGCATTATTCGACCTATGTTTATAGGAAGTTTTTTCTTATTTTTATACGTAGAATCTTCTGTTAAAGTATTGCACGCTACTTATGGGACACCCTGTATATATATATATATATATATATGTACAGGGTGATCCCCTATAATGTCGCCCCCCTTGAACTTTTTTATTTTAAGTGTCCCAAAAAATTTAAAAGTGTGGTTATGTAGGTACTAAAAAATACTTTTTTTCTACGTATAAAGAAAATTGGAAAATTGATCAGTATACAGGGAAAAACAAAAAGTTTATTTTTTTTCAATGGATCACCCTAAATTTTTTTGGGACACTTAAAATAAAAAAATTAAAGGGGGGGACATTATGGGGGATCACCCTGTACATGGACATGAAATAGGAGTAATTAATAGGGAAAATGAACTAAAACCTTTTTTCACCACCAACGGCGCTGATTGTATTTACGTTACTGTTTTGGTGCTTTTTTTGCACAAACCAAACGATAAACGAAACACCAGCACCCTCTTATTTTAGGAATCTATTTATATACATGAAGTTCGGACTTCTTGTGTAGGCTCCATGTATATAGAATTTAGACTCCTTGTGTAGGTAGCCCCTATAATCTAGGGTGCCAATGCGGTTACTTTTGGGCTATTCTTATTTATAAGGTTGGCTCCTCGTTCAAAAATATCTTGTAACCCTTAATGCGAAAGTTGAGTCGTCTGCTTTTCCAAGAAATCCGTCATTTTTGCAACGCTCAAATGTTTTAAAACAAACTCTAATCTGTCATAAATTAAATACATTTAAAATTTAATCCCTAATTAATACAATAGAATCTATTGAATAGATTACTTACAACATAAATGTCTTTCCATATTTGTCCCCATTCTCGTAATACTAGGGTGATTTCTCGAACAACTGGATCTTCTAGGGGAATAATACTTTCAAAAAGTCCTTCGTTGTCTACTTTGCAAGGCTTTAAATATATATAATTTTGAGGAAATATTCCTTTGGAAGAACGGTTTTTTGAACAAAAACCTCTGTACCACCCTTGACATTCTTCAAGGATTTGTACAGTATCACCTATTTCTAGTGTAATTCCACATCGCACATCACCTTTCCAATTGTATATGGCTGAAACAAAATTATTTTTATTAAAAAATCAATTGTTGTAATTTTGAATTTACAGGATTAAAATAATTAAATGGAAATACATTCAAATCTTTATAAATTTTTAATGTGTCTAATATTTTTATTTTTTAATTATGTACATATTCTGTATACAGATGGCATATGCCTATCGGTTCGAAAAAATATGTACCACAAAATTTGTAAATTAAAACGTTGGAATTTTATTAATTAAAAACAAAGCTAAATGTTGATCACAAATGTTAATGCTTAAAATATTTTAAAACTTGTTTATTTTTTGCAAGAAAAAGTATTTGTGGCCTAATTATCTGTTTTGTTTAAATGTTTTAGACGCTATCATTATTTTAGATGGAAAAAAGTATATAGGAAATAAAATTAAAAAAATATGTTAATTTTAGCTTCAATAAATAAGTACACTATGATAGTTTTACGGCCATTCCAAGCCCATGGACAGGACACATCAGAAACATGTCTAAATATATTCTTGTTACTTCCTTAAGTTTACTTATTTTTTCTACGAGTATTTATGAGAAGTATTAGCCAAAATTGGCTAATACTTCTCATAAATACTCGTAGAAAAAAATAAGTAAACTTAAGGAAGTAACAAGAATATATTTAGACATGTTTCTGATGTGTCCTGTCCATGGGCTTGGAATGGTCGTTTAGAAACTTTTTTTTCCTAACATTGAGTACTCCAGCTTAGTTTAACTAATGTTGGGCCGCTGATTTCAAAAATGTTATTTGTTTTTCTCTGGGACGTCTAGGATTTAAAATAATTTCGTAATAAAATGCTCTTCTCAATCACCAAAATGTAAGTTTTTTTTGTTAGTATTTTAATTATTTATTAAATTATTTTGGCTTAAATTTATCTTGAATGTACTGAAGTAATTGGTTAAATAGATCATATTTAACTTAACAATATGACATTTTAAATACTAAAACTAAAATTTAATGTATTTTATGTAAAAAAAACAACCATTATTTGACATTTTTTGTCGTTTAATTTAATTATTGAATTGAAAGGGCAACAAAGTAAACAAGTTTCGGTATTTTTTATCAAAATTAAGCCCACAAAATGTAATGCTTTGCATAATTTTGCTTTTTTCTACCTTAAATTTATTAAATCGTATCAAATATCGAATTGAAATATAAATATAGTATTATTGTGCTTAATCCTCATTATCGTCGTACATCTTTTCCTGCAAATTCCAGCATATGTCTCCTAGAAATGAATCCAACTTCTTTCCGCTATACCCATAGATATCAACAAATGCTCTAGATTTGCAGTTACTTGGTGAAATCGTTCTCATCATGAGATATACCTACTACTTTAATATTCCTGCAAAATTAAAGTATATCTCATAAACTTTTGTAATGAAATATTGCGTTGTTTTTTTTCTTGGGCGTAAATGTACCGCAACAAAATCAAATCAAATCAAACACGACATAAAGGTTCGTCTCCTTTCTCTTTCTCTGCCACTTCCATTACCACTTCTATTTCCTGCTCTTTTTTCATTTTTGTTTCTAAAAATCACTTTAAATAAAATACAATGTCAAAAATTAATAGATTCACTTTAATGTGCTTGAACAATAAAGTTGATAACGGCGCCTTTATTTAATTTGATATTAAATTTATATAAGACTTAATAAGATTGGAGATTGAATTTTTGGGTAGGTACTTTAGGCATGATATGAATAAAAAAATATCAAATAATAGTCGGAGAGTAATGTTTATACCGAAACCCATTTACTTTGTTGCCTTTTGAATTTAATTAGTAATTAAAAACCGACACAAACATTTTAAAAAATGATACTTTTTACAAAAAAAACATTATAATATTAGTTTTGGTATTTATTAAAGCACTTATCTGCAGAAAAGTGCATTATTAAATACCCCTTATATAATACTACTATATAATACTACTATATAATACTACTATTATAGTACGGCAACAATGGAACAAAAAAAAATTCCATTTGACATTTATCTACTGATGACTTTGTATGGAGTCCCTGTATATTTATGACAAAAAACGTCAAAAATATACTGAACATCCAAAATACATTTAAGGCAAAATAATTTATAAATAATTAATAAATAATCAAAATATTAACGAAAATCTTACATTTTGAGATAATTGGGCAGAGCATTTTATTACGCAATTATTTCGAATCCTAGACGTCCTGGAGCAAAACGAATGGTATTTTTGAAATCAGCAGCCCAAAATTAGCTACCCGGACAACAATCGGTATTTCCTGGTGAATTCATGATGATATTACAACGTGATTTTTTTTATCACGCTGTGATATCCTGAGTGCATACACATGCTTCATCACAGTGATACCATGTAGAACTTAAGGTGTGATATTTGCAAAATTTGCGCATACATTTAATATTTTATTAATTTAAATCCAAAAAAATATTGAATGTATTTAACTATAAAAACTGTTGATTCAATATATATGTAGGTATACTTTTTCTCTCAATGTACGAATGTGGCGCAAAAATAAATATCCAAACACCGATGTCATAAAAAATCCCGATGATTTTTTATGCCATCGATGTTTGGATATTCATTTTTGCGACACATTCGTACATTGAAAGAAAAAGTATGTTAACAATTGAATCAACAGTTTAACATTTAATATTTTCTTGGATTTAATTTAACTATACCATACTTTTATTATATTTAATTTAAATCCAAGAAAATATTAAATGTATTTAACCGCAAAAACTGTTGATTCAACATAATTTTTCTCTTAGGCCATCGGTCAGTCGCAAACAGCGACGACATAAAGAATCACGACATGATTTTCATTTCTCACGCAGTGACATCCGGATGATGTCCGTATGAATAAAATTTGTGAAAATCACGACGTGACGTTCTTATGATTTTCATTTATCACGCGGTGACTGATGATATCAGTATGAATAAAATTTGTGAAAATCACGACATGAATCGTATGAATATCACGAATGTTGTCCGGGTAATAAAGGTGGGCATACTCAATGTTAGTAATTCGAACTATCATAGTGTTATTACTAAATAAATTTACCCCCTTTATGGTTATGTGCATGAGGTTGCAACCCTAGACACATGGTACTTACTTAATCTGTTTGGCTACTCTGGGGGTGGCTGGTTTATAGAAAAACAAACCAGGTAATTTTTATTCATTCTGTATCTTTTTGATTAATAATATAATAACTTTAATAAAAATATATTATTAAATAAAATATGATATTAAAATTATATTATTAAAATATTAAATAAGCTGAACAAGGGAGAAATTATAGACAACAACATAAACCTAACCAAACAGGAAGAAATACACAATTACAAAACTAGAAAAATAATACTCATGGTAAAAATTTAATATTTTGTCTACAAAAATATTTTTTTATAACTAACTACAAGTTTATATAAGAATACGAAGTAGGTACAAGTTAATTAATTAATAAGACTCAGGTTTAATTTTAATTTAAATTTACTAGTACCTAATACAATCTTATCTATTCTAATCGGGATCCTGGAATCTGTAATGGAATTCACTAACATGTATTTTTTGAAATAGTAGTTATACAATTTATTAGTTATATAAAGGTTAAAATTTTGTACTACCTGCAATTGTAAATTTTAAACTTTATTTCAATGCATAAAGAAATAAGTAGGTATGTAAACTTGTTCTATATTAACCATGTAAAAAATAGCTACAAATATAAATTAACGTAACAGGACAAATAAACTTACCCACTCCATATTTTTTATTTTTTGTTGGAACCCACATTTTAAATGCTAAATATTTTTTTACATTCCATCAACATCAAAACAAAATTTTAATCAATATTATTTTCATCTGACAGTTGTCAACAATTGGGGTTAAGTCCAAAGGCGTTTTCTTTAACTTTACATTTTAGTTTTGCTATTTGCCGCGAGGAGTCAGCAGGTGACATTTTTTGTACTTACCAGTATATGATTTTTTCCACATACTTCCACACACCGCTTATTGCCTATATTTTGTATAGATGACCTTGATCCCGTTTCTAAGGGGACATTTGTTCTCGTAGTGTGCCATTTTCCTTTATGCGCTTAGTCAGTGGGGGATTATATGATACCATAGACATCACATAACATTAGATAGAGAAATTAATACGTCCATTTATGATACAAATTGTCAACTAAACAAAATTTAGGTTATATAAAATTTTTCTAAATTATTTGGTTCCATAGCCTGGGTTAAGCTTACAAACATTTTTGTGATTTGGCTTTATAAAAAGCAAAAAGTGGCATAATATGCATATTATGTAAAATCCAATAAAAATCTTATAAAAACAATGGAAAAAAAATGCCAAAACAATTGGTAAACAACAGAAAACAAACAAAATGGATAATTAAAAAAAAATATCTACATATTTATATGTCTATCATAAAAACCTTTTGGCTATGAAACGATAATCGTAACAGACGACACTAAAAATCACGGAAACCTCGGAAGTATTCGGCCGTGTCCGGAGGGCAGCGAGAAGCGGCTGGCGGGAATTTTGATTTTAAATATTGTTTTGGTTCGTTCTTTATTTTTAGATAGTATAATTATATAGCCTTCAAAATAAGTGATGATTTATTAGGTTTATTAAGTATAATAAACATAACAAATCATTACTTTTTTGGAGAATTTGTTAGATATAATAATAATTTACACAAGAAATATTAAGAATATGATTCTGATAAGGCTGATTTGCATTCTTGTTTTAGATTTATATCAAAATCACTTGCTTTCGGATGTTTAAACGTTTTTTGTTATTTGTATTTCTAGGAACTATTGTTATTCCTATTTCATCTTTGATGGTGGAAAAATAGAAACTGTTTTATTCTTTGCAGGAAAGTGGCATGCATTCGAATTTGGTGTACGGTTAACGCAATCGAAATTTTGTTTTCACATAGATGTTTAAAATTAAAAAAACCCTTCTAATAAAACCCAGTATAGGTCAGAAAAATTTAACTACTTACCCCATTGAAGATCAGCTTTAAAATTTTGAATACAGTACATAGATGAGCAGTAAAATAATTTTTGTTGGGCTAAATTTAAACTAAGTTTTAAGAAATCCGCGATTTTAAATACAACCCATAAGGAGAAAATAAAATAAACTTATGGATGTTTTTTTAAACCATACATATCATTTAGGTATATATATATATTGTATACAATAATTGTTAGCTTACACATATGTGTACATATAATATATATATATATTTTAATTTTAGAAATTACAGTTGATCTACTTAAATAAAACAAAACATAATATTAAAGTTCTTTATTTAAATTTAAAATTAAAAATCCGCAGTTTTGATTACATAAGAAGAAACTGCAAGAAACTTATGGGTGCTTTTTTCTTTAAACCAAACTCATCAGTCAGGTAAAATACAATATTTGGTAGCTTACACCTCTAGGTACATGATATGTACCTATAGGTACTTATAAGTACATATTTATATATTTCAATTTTCCTAGTACTAACTAAAAATTACACTTTATACATCTACTTAAATATAACCAAAACAACACTACAAAACTACAAAATAAATATAAAAAGGGTTTAAACCCTTAACCAATAATATTTTTTTTGCTTTGTTGGTTTTTTTATTGGCATTCCATTCTTCCACTTTTAAAGCTAAGGCAATCATGCTATTTTCATGTTTCTTCTTCATTACATTATGTTTCTTCATTAATTATAATACATCATTTCTATTCAGCATATTTATTCTTTGAATTTTCTTAGATTTTAATTTTCTGGCATTGGACATAATTCTGTCTACGGTTACACCACTACATAATTTTGTTTTTTCAAGTTTTGACAAGTGTTGACTTCTAATCTCCTCTTCATGGCCTACATGTGATTTCCAGAATTTTACAGTAATCTCTCCTACAATTAAAATGTTGATATTATCTCAAATAGATTCATATTTTAGGGTTATACATAAGGCATAGTATTTATGTCTACTCATATACTTTTTAAGCAAAAGAATAATATTTTACCCTTAAATTTACCTGTTTGCCAAAGCTTTATATTTAAATGAGATGGGCATACTCCATACATTTTAATTGAACCACCAGCCTTCTCCGTTCTTTTGGAACAATTGCTGCCATGTCCTGAGGATAACAGAAATATTTTGTAAAATAAAGTAATACTAAAAGGTGAACTTAATATTTTACCTATTGAATTACTACGATTGCAAGTTTAGGATTTTTCTAAATAATCATTAGATCTTTTTGATCTGACCGATGCATAAGTTGTCTCAATTTTCTGTTGATCAAACCACAGTTCATAACTTTCTCTCGTTGCAAAATTATATGTATGCATTTCTATTTTTATTTTATGGTTTACCTCCAAATGTTTTTCCAGTTTACTATAAGTTCCACAGACCAACTTGTTTTCAGTACACAATGGGCAAATAATTTGCATTGGTATCTATCTGATGGTTATGAAATAGTCTTATAATAAACAAAGCCTTGTAATAAACAGAGGTATACCAGAGACTTTGTCTCTGGATATACTATCTGAATAAACAAAACGAATAAAAGCAATAACATCAATTTGAGGTAACGAAATAACCGTTTTTTGGCGCAAATGATTCATTAATTTGAAATGAATGACGTCAGCCGACGAAGCTCTCCGTAAACAGCCGAATACTTCCGAGGTTTCCGTGATTTTTAGTGTCGTCTAATCGTAACGATGTGGCTCCCGTCCCGAGGCGGGACTTAAGTTCAGTCCCGATTGACGTCACACACTGTAAATCCGTTTTTATTCCCCGAGATTTTATAATTTGTGTCAAGCTCGATGGCTTAGATGGTAGGGCGGTCGCTTGGCATGCGAGGGGTACCGGGTTCGATCCCACTAGAAGTTGTCAAACTTTTTTTATTTTTTTTTGTTTTATAAATTTGTTGTTTCTTTGTTAAAAAGTGTTTTATTTTTATCGTAACATAAATTTGCCCATTTTAGTTGGGTTTTTTGCTAAATGGGGCGGGGGGGGGCCAATGGGGCGGGGTCGGTTGGGTTGTGTTGTTGAGTTTGGGTTGGTTTGGTTTTATGACGTAACTAAAGTGCCCTTAACATCTATACAGGTACAATTTATTATTATTATTATTTTATTATAACATAACAAATCTTAAAATTATGACGTCAATCGGGACTGAACTTGGGTCCCGCCTCGGGACGGGAGCCACAGCGTAATCGTAATCAAAATACGATGTTGCCAAATTTTTCCTTTTATAAATATGCCATTATAAAATCTAAAATATCATCATTTTGTGAGTTTATTATTAGATATTTTCGCGGAGCTAATCCCGAACTAATTTCGGACAGCCTATAGGCATGCGCTTTTTAAAATTTAGCGTTCAAATTGTAAAGTGCGCATGAAAATTTTAAAATGCGCATGCCTAGGATGTCCGAACTATTGTCCATTCCATTTAAGAAAAAAGCTTTGAGTTGAATAGGATTTATTATAGACCAATCACGACGCTTAAAATTGTGTTTTTTTACACAGGCCAAAATTTAAAACCCATCTCTTTTTAATACGTTGGATGTTGATATAACGTAGTTCTTATAATATTTAAATTATAAAATTACATTATATTAGCTTTTGTCGTCAATTTGTCAAAAATATTTTAAGAAAGAATTTATCTTTTCAAAAGGTTGGATTTATCCAAGGATTTTACACACAAAATCCTTGGGATTTATCGCACATTGGCAACGTAGCATCAGCTGTTATAATTAGAGGTGGGCTGTTCGATACAGAAGCCGTATCGATACGATATCGATAATTTTCAAAATATTGCTTATATCGATACAATTTCGATACGATACGGTTAGAGTTTAAAAAAATGGAAGAAAAAATAAAAACTTTTATTAAATGAATTTATAGGAAGGTAACGAAAAAATATATAGGTATATGAAAATTTGCAATTTTTTACGCAATTGTTTACAATGTAAACTTGAAATAACTTAAACGTCAGTTGCAAAACCAACCAAAGCATAGAAAAAGCATATACCTATAACTTATAGTTATAGGTATATGCCTAAACCACAACAAATAGACTGATATCTCTGGTGGAAGGGGTAAAATATTATGTTAGTACACTTCCAAGATTACTGGCGCTGTTAATCATATAACAAACTGTAATTAAATATTGTTAGTACAGTTTTAAGGTAAAAGATGGCACTGTTTAATAAACAGTGTTTATAAAAAGTGGCGCCTTATTTGAAATGGATAACGCTTATTTAAAAGGAATCAAGCGCCAAAAACTATATAAGAACTTAACAAAATTATTTGTTAAATAACGAATTTTAAATACTGTTTAAAAATTCATTTTTATTTGGAAATAAATAATTCCCATATGGGTAAAAATTTCTCAAGTGGGCCACCCAAAAACCCTTCAGTCAAATTTTTTGTTCAAAATATATTTTTTGGGTAAAGTTTAAGCACCTCCACCGATTTGCCCAAAAATTTGTATAAAAATTTTTTTTTTGTCTCAAACATTAATAAACTAAGTTTTAAGACACTTTTTTTTAAAAAATATTAATATTAATATCTCCTAAAGTAATGCATTGATTTTTAAAATTAAATCACCAATTAATTCAGATTTTAACGTAGTTTCGATAAAAAAAATTTATAACCTTCAAAATTTGCATGTTTATATATTTTTTAGGTTAATATTTATGAAAAATTGTAAAAAATTGTGTTCTTCATCAAAATTTGTAACGAAAAAAATAGTGTATATATAAAAGAAACCTTATTAAATAGATTTGCGTTTAGAAAAAAAATGAATCTCTTCTAGAAATGGAGATATAAAAACATTTGTAAGGCGGCGCGCTGCACTGGCAAGCGCGATAAAACGGGTATTCGCGCGGAGCGCGTTATCTTCAAGCTTCGAA